CTATCCCAGTTACATTATATTCACTTATGTTTTTATAAAACCATATAGATTGCACAACGTCACAGGATTCATATCCTCAAACAATCAGACTGGTACAGGAGGCTTTTGGTAGAGGTATAATTTGTTTAAGGAAGAAGCGGAGGGCTATATTTCCTTAAGAAGCAAAGTAAATAGAGTGTGTGTGTGTGCATAAGGAGTAGGTGTGAGTAATATGCATTCACTGGAGAATCCATTCCATAGCTGGAGATACAGGCCTGATTTTCAGTTACTCTGTTCCTGTACTTGGGACAGGGACAGAAGCATATGCTTCCCCAATCTGGAGCCTGTTTAGCCCTGGTGCTAAATTAGAAACGCTTTAGAGCTGCTCTCATTCAAGGCCTGCTTCTTTTGATCCCTTTGGAAGTAGATAGTAGCCATAGTGCAGTGCACTCCAATCTCATCCACTGGGGTCTGGAAGCAGTGCTGGAGCCTGGGTGCCAGTTCTACACCAGCTGGGAGGCCCTCTGTGCAGGGATTATTTTCAGGGATCTGTTTCTGGCCTCCTGCCAGAGAGGCGTACTCAGGCTTAGCATAATTGAGAGTCAAGGTGTTTGGGATAAATTCTTATTGAAGGATCTCACTCCCTATGAGAGGCTAAACAACCTGCATGATTTAAGCCCAGGCCTGGAACCAAGACACCTCCGATTTAGTTGGGGATTGGTCCTGCTTTGAGCAGGGAGTTGGACTAGATGACTTCCAACCCTGATATTCTATGGAAGTCTCTTAACCCCTTCAGCCTGCCTTTCTCCATCTCTAAAATGGGCATAAACGTATGTATTTCATAGTGTTGTTGGTTATTTACATAATAGTATTTTGAAGATATACATTACTCTAAGTTCTAAGTATTGTTCATCTCTTTTTACACAACTCCTGTTCTGTGTGGGCTAACAGTGGAAGGGTATTGTAGATAATGTGCAGCTTCTCTTACTTATTAATAACTTACTTAATACTAGTAGGAGATAGATGCTGGTAAATACTCAAGAAGGATTGTTAGAATAATTCTTCTCCTGAAGACGAGTAAACAAGTAATAGTTAAACAGAAAACCAAACTCATGAGATTACAACAAACAGTATTCATAGAAACTGAAAGAAAGGTAACAATCATGACTATTGTGATGAAATCTAGAGTGGCGGTAAACGATGCTATTTATTATCCAACTACTCTACTGTATATTTTTGCTGAAAGCACAAATAACAGGACATTTGTTATGGGTAGTTAAGTGCATTTATGAAACTGCACTTTCCAGAAGCAAAACAACTTTATTTTACCTGCAGCATGTATACCCAGAAATGGAGAGTGGTACTTGATATTCAAAATACTGCAGTGCTACCAACAGTAAATATTTTCCTTAGGTCACCAGAAACTTTCCCATCTTCCCATCTATATAAGCTGATCCATTCAGCAAAAGTTCTGTCATGTTCATTATTGACACCCCTAAAATACAACAAGCACTTCTAGCTAAATTTATACAGAAACAACTTGCAACAAGTGGAGAAAGAGAACAAAGAAAATGAATGTTTGTTTAAATGTTAACCAGGCAATTACTTTTTTGCACAAATAATTCTCTAAAGCAACCTAATTGGGAAAGGCCACACCTGCCACATTTGGCTATGATATTGTATGATTGTGGTACTGATTTAGAGATGAAGTAGGAACACAAAAATGTTGCTATTTTTCTGCACACTGGGAGATGCAAATGCTAGATTGCAGCAAGCATCAGTGAAGCCACTAGTCATCAATTAAGGAAACACAGGAACCACTTATATTCAAAAACAGAAAGGGCCAGAATCTGATACCTTATTTACATTGAGTAGTATCTTACTCTCTGAGCAGCTTCATAGTAATCAATGGGACTAATTGCAGGGTAAAGTGTTACTCAATATTATAAGGGCATCAGAATGTAGTCCACAGAACATTTAAGACCATATCTTCCCAGGCTTTTCAATCATGTTTTCAACACAACTGAACTATCAAATAATGTTAGCAACCAATGTAGCAGCAGTTGGATCCATGCCTCAGATGCTCCGAGTTCACACTCCATAGCCATAGACAACTTTTTTATTTTTGGGGGGTGGGGAGAGGGGTGGAAAAGGGGACTAGAGTTTTGTCTATGTCCATGCACTCACTGTAGCCATGGAGTTGAAAGAGAGGTGGCTATAAGTCACCTTTTTGCACCCCTGATTCCAGGCCAGTCAGGGATAGGGTGACCAGATAGCAACTGTGAAAAAACGGGACAGGGGGCGGGGGGTATATAAGAAAAGATCCCAAAAAACAGGACTGTCCATATAAAAATGGGACATCTGGTCACCCTAGTCAGGGACCAAAACAACCCTTAGTGTTTCTTGGAACAGCCTGAAGATGTTCTGAGTTAGGATAGCTGCAGATCTAATGGAACACCATACACTACTCCAACAGGCTCCCATGTGGCGGGGGAGAGCAGAAGATATAGAACCAGCTACACCAGGTTTGCGCCACTTGAGGATTCCCCTGTCAGAAGAAATTCTCAGCCTCCCCTTTAGTGCAGTTCTTCAGTTCCTTTGCATGTCACCACCATCCAAAGCAGATGCAAGAGGGCCCAAAGATTCAGCCCATTGAGATTAAAGTATGTTTAATAAACTAATATGAAAAAGTCCTGCTGAAAAAATCCAGTATAAATGGGTGGGCTTTGGAGTCAGATTCCATCTAGAAATTCATGTGCACAGCTCCCATTAAAGTCACTGAAAATTATTCACATCTCAGGGAGGAATTTGGACCTTTGACACAATTCCTTCTTTTTTTCTTTGGGAGCCAAACATTTTCAGTGGTAATAGAGAATATTATAGCCAGGGTAAATATAATGCAGTTGGGCACTAAAATGAATAACAGTCCCTGCTCAGTCTGCTGAAGGTTGGCAGATGTGACAGTTTCTTGTGGCTGGAAGAAAGAGAGCTATTTACTGCAAGTAGCACTGCAGCCTTGCTTGTATCACAAAAAGCAATCACCCTATAAAGGGGATTCATATGTGGGCAAGATCATCAGATGGTATGTATCAACATAGGAGCCACAAAACATCGAGCCCACAGTCTGTCTGTAGTTTGGATGTTTTGTTGTCTTTGGAATTAAGTGTAAATAATATTTCATTAGCTTCTCTGTATGTCGTGTGCTTCACTATTAAAGGTGCTAAATTCCTGCCAGCCTCTGTCTGCAGGTTTTTGTCATTTCTAATTTAAAAAAGAATAAATAAAATTACTTGCCTTTACATGAAGGACCTTTTAACTGAACTAAATTGTATAATACCAGAATACACAATGCACATGAAAGTAATTTCAGTTAGCACTAATCATAAATTGTTACCATCTGATGTCTCTTTGGCCTACGCAGAATTAGCTGTTTGGTCTCCAGCCGTTTTGCAATGGACTCCTGTTTACATCACAACAGGAACTAACTGGCCTCCTTATTGGTAATCTCAGCAGAGAGACAAATGATTGAATGGAGACAGAAATGAGCTACCCTCTTACACCTACTTACAGGGTTTGATCCAGTGCCCATGGAATTCAATGGAAAGGCTCCTGTTGATTTCACTGTATTGGATCATTTCCATAGTCCCTTGAGGTGAGGGTTGACAGACTGTAGTGAGCAGCATAAGGAAGCTTCCATCACCAATGCCTATGATGTATCTGTTTTGTGGATTAACAGAAGACTTTGATCATTCATCAATCCCAAGCATTAAACTCCCAAGCTTTAAATTCAATGAATGTTTGCATAGGTACTTATATCCCTTCTTCCTCCTTTGTAATAGTAGTGGAGTGCCTCACAAATGTTAATGAATTCATTTTTTCCCCTCAATCCTGTGAGATAGAGAAACATTCCTAAAATGGAGAACTGAGAAATTAACCTGTGGCTTGCATATTGACACAGGGAACGTTTATAGTGGAGATAGGATTTGAACCTGGATCTGTCTGGGTCCTGGTGCAGTGCCTTGATCACAAAATCATCCTTCCTCACTCTATAATGGAATTCAATTGGTGTTAGGTTAGGCATCCTTGAAAATCCCACTAGGTGTTTAGTTGCATCTTTAGGCAAAGAAAAAATGGCAAAAAGGGCATTTTTCAATGAAAAAATGTTTTTTAAAAAAACTTCAACCAGCTCCAACTGTGGCTAGTTAAATATTTTCCTTTGGGCATCAACCAGAGATGTTAAACTTCACATCCCCTCCTGAAAGCTCTTATGAGAGGCAGTTGCCACAGAATGACTGCTGCATTCTATTCCAGAGGTGACAGTACTTCAGTGATCGGTACATGAACTCGATGTATGTACCTGGCTGGCAAAGTGCTTCGGGTTCCTTTGGGATAAAAGGCACTATGTAAATGAAAAGTGGTGGCTTTGTGAATTAATTTGAACCTCTATTTCCCTCCTCCTCTTTTATGTAAGGACAGTTATCCTTTCCTTGTTTTCATTTTCTTCTGACACTGCATTTCTTCTGATCTGCTCTCCTCATTTAGTGAAAATGAAGAATGCTTTAAAATAATTGTTTGTTTACATTTTTGACTCAGAGTATAACACTGTTGGTGTAATCTCCAATGATTAAGTATTTATAGAATGCCAGAGGAAAGCTGAACCCAAGGAAGGGGGCGGAGGAGATGCTTGGTTGTTGTTTTTGTGGTGGTGGTGATTGTTGTTATTTTTAATTTCTGTGGAATTGTTATGGTACTGTGCTATATCTCCCCAGGAACATAGTTGCAATGAGACAAACACTATTTATTTAATTATACGCCTATGAAATATTAGTAACTGCCTTCAAACAGTTATTTAGACACCTAAATAAGTGGTCTTGTCCTTAGAAATGCTAAGCACCCACACCTCCCAATGGGAGAGACTCTTTTCAAAGCTTCTTGTGAGGGATTTTGTCAAAGACTTTTGGAAAGTCCAAACAAACTATGCCAACTGGTTCTCATTTTTCTGCTATTTTCTTGTAGCAGTCAAAGAATTCCAGTAGATGAAAGACCTGATTTTCCTTTATGGAAGCTGTGCTGATTTGTCTTATCACATAATGTCTTATAATGTTTAAATGTTGTTTCAACCAGTTTTTCTGGTACTGAAGCAGGGCTTTCAGGTTTGTGTTTCCTAGGGTTGCCCTTAGTTGACTTTAATGAAGTTACACTGGGAATGAATCTGGCCTGTTGAATTTAGAAAACTAGAAGGTAAGACAAAGATCAATCAACATCACAGATGGGCTGTCATTTAAATTCTTTTCTACATTAAAGAAGTTAATACTGGTATAAAACCAGTGCATATCCCCATGCCACAGATTTGATACACTGTATCATGGCAAAATTATTTTCATTAATGTTTTGATGCTGCTGATTGACATGATTCATCATGTCAAACATCTGCCTGCTAATGGTTCCATTCTGCTATTTGACATGAGGCATCATGTCACTGTTTTGCACCTCAAAGCAAATGCTAAGAACCATTTAATGGAACGGAAATGATTCTGTCAAAAAACAATGCTGAATATGCAATAACTGAATATTTGAGCATTTTGGCATCTTGCAAGATAGTACATGTGTTTTACTTTCTTCTAGCCTCCTGCATGCTTGACATAGAAATCACTAAATTACTGAGCTAAAATATATCTTCCTTTGGTATAGTAAATTATATCATATTTTTTATTTTGGTCCAGTTCTGCTTCGAGAACCAGAATATGTTCTTCACAAACCTAGCAATCTATAGACACTGTATAAAGACTGTGATCCTACTTAAGATTGAATGTAGATAAGTACTATTTTTATAAGCTTTTATATAAGGTCCCCATTACCAGGGCATCTGAGTGCACTTTACATAGGATAGAATGGTACTAAACAACATGTTGCCTAAAGCAGGGAATATTTCATAACCCTTTGCAGTAACCAACACAGCCTCCTTATGAGGATCTGCAAGGGTAGATAGCAGCTAGTAGCCCAAGTGGTAGGAGACTTAGTGCCAGTAGATTAAGCAGTTAGTGGAATGCCTGAACAAAGATATCTTACACTTCACTGCAAAAATGTCCAGGCTGGGGTCAGGCATATATCCAGCAGCACTGAACTTCGAAAGCTGGTACTCCGTAATGAGAATCCATTGCATTTAGATCCCATGAACTTCACTGTTGGGACAGATAGCCAAGACATTCATTCTTAGTACGGTTGTCATAGAGGGGCCATGAGATTTTTTTTCCAGATTAATGGGGCCTAGATTATTTAGGGATTTGTAAATAGTAATCAGCACCTTAAATTTCACCCAGTCATGAACTGGTAGCCTAAGCAGAGTACAGAGGGTAGGTATTATTCACTCTCATCTTATCTGAAAGGTGGGGAGCTGCATTCTGCCCTAGCTGAAACTTCTGATTGGTCTTCAAGGTTAGCACCCAGTAGAACCCCTTTCATGGAATGTAGAAAGTGTGAAAACTACTTGGGGGCGGGGCGGAGGGGAATTAAGTGTTCTATGACAAACAAATGAACTATTCTTAAGTATTTTAAACATATATATAACTCCCTCAAGCCTGTAGGTCACTGATGTCCAAAATAAAAGTCAAATCTCATTTGAGAAAATTTCCATGATACCTATGAACCAGGATCTGAGTATGGTGACCCCAGTCCTGAAAACACTTTTATGCACATGCTAACTTTTGTCCATGTGAATAGTCCCATTGCAGACAAGTGATAAGAACTGAATGGGACTACTCATGCATAAATGTAAGCACATATGTAAGGGTTTCCAGCATCTGGGACATTATCATTTATGGGCACAGCAAAGAACAATAACTCAGTGCATCTCAGTTACTACTTACCTTGTTCTCTGTCTGGCAGATACATCTCTGGCCTGACAACTCCTGTTCAGTTGGAGGGAGTCTCACTCATTCTGGATTCATTTTCAGGCGGTTTTAAAAGTCTCTCCTCTGGTCCCAAAGGATTTTAGAGTGTGTTATACTGAGACATTTAAAAAAATCCCACCCCTGCTCCCCAACATCACTCACTACAAATTATTCCAACACTTCTGGAGGAGCCTCGGTACACATGACTATGAAACTAAAAGAAACCCTTCAAAGTTGCCCCTCTTCTGCTCCCCCCCCCAAAACAACCCAAAGAATAACAAGTGCAATTAGAACAAAGGTTAATGTAAAAAGAAAATGCAGTAAAGCAAATAATCTACAATGAAATCTAGACTAAGGGACACATTCATCTGGCTACCTTATGCCTCACACTACTTTGAAGTATTCTAAAGGCTTCCAGTGCAATTTAGCTTCACTTATTTAAAGATCGCTTGTCCCACTTCTACTAGGCAACCAATTTTTGATGGCCCACCAAGGTGGTGAATTATGAGGTTTCTCTTCACTTTTGCAGAAAGAGAGAGAGAAGCAATGCTCTCATCTGAACTGGTTGCCAGTGGGACCAGAGGGAAATGAGCTCATTGCAGGATGGGGCCCAAACTTTTCAGGGGAGTCACGGTAAAAGTACTTTGCTAAGATATTACATCCTTGGACCTCCCTTTAAGAAATCACCTTCATGCAAAAGGCAGACAGCACCCAGCACCTGACTACCAAGGTGCAGCCCCACTGCTAGCTTCCCTCTGCAGATAGTGGGCAGGACTCCTTTCAGCTAGCTCCAATCCTCCTCCAGATGCCACTGCCATCCTCTGGTGGTGTCTCTTAGGCTTCCGCGGCTGCAAAAGTACCCAGCATCTAACAGGACCACAAACTGAAGAGGGGGCCGGTCACACTCTCCGACGACACGCCCCCTTTCTGGTCCACTCAGCTTCCAGCCCAGCTGTCCAGAAGCAAACTTGGATCCAATCCGGAGACAGCCGGGCGGAGTTTCGGGACTTTGGTTCCTTCTCCCCCTCCTGCTCTGGGCGCTGGCCATTGGCAGAGCCTGGGGCTGCTCATTGTGTGTATGGTAATAAGCGGCTGCGGCGCTGTGCCCCACTCCGCCTCCCCGGGGCTGCGCCGCTGCTGCCATCGACGCTATGCGCCCAGCTCCGCCGCTGCCCCAGCTGCCCCGCCGCCGGGCTCCTATATAAGTGTTGGAGCGGGACCCAGGGGGCTCCTGAAGATGAGGGCTCCGCCGCCTCCGTCCTCTCTGCAGAGCTCAACGCTTCTGGCCGGCCGCCTGCCAGGGGAGAGCACAGCCCAGCGCCCCGCAGCAGCGGCAGGGGGCCGCGCAGGGCATTGGCGCAGGGAGTAGCTGCATAACGCTGGCGGCTCCCCTGCCCCCGCGGCCGCTGCCATGAGTTGCTCCGACGTGGTGATGCACCATTCCCAGGCGGCGTGTGGGGCGCCCCAGTATCTGCCAAGCCCGGTGGCGGCAGCCGCGTATTGCCCCCTTCCTGCGCCCAGCCAGCAGGTGAGCCGCCGGTCTCCACGGGGGCTCGGGCCGAGCGAAGGGAGGGGAGCGTTCACCCGGGCGTGGGGCGGGAAGCGCAGGCGAGGTGCGGGTGGGACTCCCTCCGGCCAGAGAAGCAGGAGCTGGGGTGCTGCGGGATCTCTCCGTCCGAGCAACAGCGCTGGGGGGAATGCAACCGAAGTAGGGTGGCCAGATGTCCTGATTTTATAGGGACAGCCCTGAATTTGGGGCTTTGTCTTATATAGACGTCTATTACTCCCACACCCTTCCCGATTTTCCACACTTGCTGTCCGGTCACCCTAAACCAAAGGCAGGTTGAGAGGGGCACTCTCTGCTCGGGCACTGTCAGTGCACCTCACTCGGGACGTCCTTGCATAGCCCCACCTGCCTGAAGGGGCCGAGGCAAAGCAGCGCGCCTACAGCTGTGTGTATAGATCATGCAGGGGGCTGTGTCCCTGCACGAGGTGCTGGTGTATGGAGGGGTTCTCCCTGCCCCGCGTGTGCCTGTGTCCTGGCCCTGGCTGGTCAGATCGTGAGTGGCACCGCGTAGCTGCCAGGCTGGTCTCTGCAGTCCCGTGCGCGCCCACTCCCTGTGTTATTCCTCTGGAGTTAGTTTCCCTAGCGCGGGGCAGCTAGCAAAGGACCAGCCCCTCAGCCGGCCAGGGAGCGCGGCTGGGCTCGGCTGACTCTGGGATGGGCGCTGAGAGATGAGCGAGCGGGGTCTGCCATCCCCGCAGCGGACAGCTCTCCAAGCCCCGGGGGGTGGGAGTGGGGGGCGCTTCCCCACATCCTGCTGTCAGTTCACTGAGGGGAAGTTGCCAACCTGCGATGACAACCAGGAGAGAGGAAGCGGCAGGGACCAGGCTCCTGGGGTGAGTTACCCTCTGATCCCGGGGTTTGGGCTTGGGCTGAGTCCGGGGGGACGGAGGCCGGGTTGCGGACGGAGACCTTGTGCTGATAGTGGACACATCGGGGCAATCTGGAAAGGAAAGGGAATCGCTCCGGGTTGGCGAGAGAATCTCAGCAGGCGGCCCGGGCTTTGAGGGCAGGAGTGAGTTAGCTGGCAGTTTTTCACCAGTCCCGGGGAATGCACTTGGCACTCATAGATATCAACGTGTGAAATATACATAACAAGCAAGCAATATCTCGGGTGTAACATTTGGGGGGGGGGGGCGAAGTAGGTGCAGCGCTTAATTTGTAATGAAAGAGGTGCCTGGGCTCAAGCAAAACAATTTTTCTTTTTACTTTCATCACTGAGGGGGCAAGCCCAGAGGTGTCTGGACTCAGCCCTGGCAAATCCTGACACAAATTAAGCACTGGGCAGGTGTGTTTCAAAGAGACCTCTCTTAGGAGCTAGTGAGGCGGTTTTTTAAGCCTGAAAAGTTATGTTTCATTTTAAAGAGGGGAGGAAGCCAATCTTTACCCCCTGTTCTCGTTTCCAGGCACACCCTAGTAACCCCCATCCCACATAAAGTCTGCTGTTTTAAATAAAGTATTTTGTGTATTAATGTTAATGGCTACTTGCATTTGATAGTTGTCAAATCTACACTGTTATCACAACAACCACATATACTATATATACTCAGCCACCTTATGCAGATACATAGCTGAAGATGTCTTAGGGATAAGACAGACTATTTCATATGAAGCATCCTGTTTTCAAAATATGTATTTTGCTTACAAAAAGGCATGTAATTGTATGCCCACCTAGTTTTACTTTGCAGTGCAACTTTCAACTGGTGTAGATGTTAAAGTCTATAAAATGTTAGTGGGGAGGGGAAGGGGAATTTTTGAACAAAACCTTGTTCTTTTGGAATATCAGCTAAAACAATTTTACACTTGAACTTGGTGATCTGAATCAGGAAATTCTTATCGGGCTGACAGCATTTTTAGACTATGCAGTGCGTGGGTGAAGTGGGACTAATATTGACTTGGCCCTAATGTAGTCATCTGAGAATACATTTTTTGGTTGTTGCTGCATTCCATAAGGTTTTATCATTATTATCCATGAAGATTGTTTTCTCCGTACATGGGAAGTGACCCCTAATATCAACTTGCCTGGGAGACACAAATATGGACAAAAACATTAAAATTCCTACTGAATGTTATTGTTTCCTTTTTATTCATTGTTGTGTGCGTGAGAGAGAGTTTTTGCATAAATGATACAAAAGCTGACTTTTCCAGGTTGCTCGTGTTGTTCACGGGCAATAGGAAAGTTTGGTGTTTTTATCCACTGCAACATGCTTTCACATTGATTTTTCAAATCTAGGTCAGAGCCTGCAGAATGGAAGGCTCTAATTCGTCTGGGAATTTTAGTTTTTAAATTTTTTCTTGGTGTCCATAAGCATGCTTGTTAACTTTAAAAATATATAGTGAAAATAAAAATGCTCCATTTGACTGGAAGACCTAAAAGCATAAAATTAGGGTTGAAAATGAAGTTTTAGGTTTTGTCTGATTTGGTTACATTGTTCTTAGGCTTTTGGTATAATGTACACAGTACTTTTTGTAAGGAAATACATTAAACAGTCATTAGCTTTAACTAAACTACAGTTTGATGTGGCTATTCCTGCTGCTTCACACTTTAGATTGTGATTGTCTTCACATGATAGAGAGAAAAATGAGCTTTCATTCTGCGTTTAAGGATATCCGAGGTTTTAAATATGAGTATGATGTTTGCTCATCCACTATAAGTTCCACCAAGTATAAAATGTCCCAGAAGCACCACAGTGAAAGTTTAGTTGCTAGTAAACTTATTTTATTAATAAAGAGAATTGTTGTTGGGTCAAGTTATTTTACTGTTTAACAATAAAAGGGATTGTGTTAAATATACAAGATGAGAGAGCATAGAGTTGAACCAATACAATGTATTGGTTACTGCAAATAAAAAAAATGCTGTTATTACAGAAGTCACATCAATGATTCGTTTTTAATCAGTTCATCCCATTTGCACCAGCTATCTTAAATAGTTCACACTGCTTCTGTTGGAATAAGAGGGTTCCTTATGAACTGTTGAAATTCAGGCTGTAAGACTAGAAAGTAGAGCAGTTCTATAGCTCACTGAACCGGGAATTTTGGACATTCTAACAGCTGTGAAGTTTGGAGCAGTTTATAAATTTATGTTGTAGTGCCCTGAAATCCATCACTTAAAAATAAAACACAAAAACTAAATAATAGGTTCCTCTTCCATCTGTACAATCACAATGGAATAAATTGTTGTTCAGACAGTATTCCACACTGCACAAAACAGACGGGTTTCTTCAAAATTAGATTGCCAGGGATATTCACCCAATCAAGCAATTTGATTGCCTGACACTCCTTAATGCTTTATAAATGTAACTATCACTGGGTTTTTATTCCTCTTTTTGTGTTCACCATGTAATGCTCTTCTAAGTGCTTGGTAAAGATATGAACTATTTTAAAGAATTTCTTCTTTACCAGAATTAAGAGTCTTTTTTTCAAAAAGTGCATTAATGGAACATCTTAAAAACAAATCTCTGTATCAGAGCTAATGAGTTGGAACTCATCCTTGACATTTCCAAGAACTCGACCTTACCTTTTCCAATGTCATTACACAACTGTTGTTGTGTTTTGGTACTCAATTGGAAAAAAATAAATTTAATGATAAAGAAGACTAATCTGTAGTGGATTCCTTTTGGCCTTGGAGTTTCAGATTCTTTACAGGGATTTGGTGGTATGTTCCTTTCGCTGAAGTTTAGGCATCTTGAAGGATTTTTTGTGTTGGATACAAATGTTTCTATGCTTGCTTTTGCTATCTGGGTTGCATCTTTTAATAGATCTAGCTGGTTCTTCAGCTAGAGGACCTAATCTGTTTTACACAAGCTGAAGATCTAGCCCATAATAACTATTTGGAAAGATAACCCTCACTTATTTTTATTGGTACTATATAGGTGTGTTGGCAAGTGTGATTTTTGGCATGCAACTAACTGTTATCACATCAGTCCTGTGAAAGGATTTTGAAGATATTTTTTTAAAAATGGGATAAGAATGCAATGGCATCTTCTTTTAAAGTAATCACATGATTTAAAATTATGGAATATCAAATACTTGTTGCATGCAGAAGTGAAGTCTTGGGTAGATTTTTTTTTAAATAAATGATTCATCACTCCTTTAAGAGTAACCCCTCTGCCCCTTTATTTCTATATCTGTAATTCTGCGCACCCTAAAATCAATGCAGAATTTCTGGAGCCTTGGCTTTTCACAATTCTGTAGCCAAAAACAAATCCCTTAATGGCAAACTAATTTAGCATGGGATTTTAAAAAGAGTTTAAGGGGATTAGGACCCAACACCCGTTAACCTTCAGTGGGAGTTGGGTCTTAACACGCTTGGGTTTTATTTTTTTATATCACCTAGATCTATAGGAATGCTGAAGTCCAGGGCATCTGTCCAAGAAAATAGATGGGATATGCATGTGTGCACACAAGCACACACAAAGTGCCAGGTTGGACAAGTGAAAATGAGGCGCAACCCTCGATTAAGCATCTGCCTGCGTATTGAGTTTTCCTTTTTTCCTCCTGCCAAAGTACTAAAGAGTTGAAAAGTACACTGTACCTGTATATGTGTGACAGTGTTATACTAGGGATATACTGCTCCTATTGATGTGCAGTCAGGACCCATGCTTATAGAATTCCACAATATTCAAGATATTAAAATCTGTCTTCTAATTTTTGTCAAAATGCTTCCTCAGGATCTGATTCAAGTCCAATGGGAGCCTTTCCATTAACTTCATTGAGCTTTTGATCAATCCATAAGGCTCATCTTTAAAAGCATCCTTCAAGTTCATATTATAGATATAGTTGGCCAAATCCTGCCATAATTTACACCCCATGCAATCCCATTAACATCAGTATATATGGGCTGGCATGCTGTATTCCTGCTATTCTTGCTAGTATGAATTTCTTGCCAAGTCTACTCAGTATAAATAATTATACTTCTCAAATATATGCCCCCTCTTATTCTCATCCTCTGACGTGGTGGTTTGTTTCTCTTCCACTCGCTTTCCTGAGATTGCCAACCAGGGGGACAATAGTTGAGTGGGCCATGACTGGTTTATATTGGAACAGGAGAGAGATCTGAATTTGTAGCCTCTCCATTTCACACGGGCCACCAACATACGGTTAGATGATACCTACTTCCATTCATTCCATCTCAAACCAGATTTAAGATAGTGACCTAAAGAAGAGAGGCTCAGTATCCCATTACCAATCTGCTGACCCACCCAGTGTCCCTGTGGAAACTTTATTAACCCCAAGTATATATTGTTTAATTCAGGTAGCTACATCTTTCCATGGAAATAGTTTATTAAACTATATGGCCACCAGCCTAACACACTGTTTAACAAAGGGTCATTTTAACTGTGCCATCCTCAGTTTCCTTTCCTCTGCACTGTAACTGATAATCCAAAGGTTCAGGTGAAAAAATGACACTAACTTTGCTGTGCAGAACTATTTTGCATATGCTCATGTCCTTAGTTATTCATTTGTAATTATAACAATTAGCACTTTATATTTTCAAAGTACCCTGCAAATACTAACTTGTAGCCTGGAGCTGCATTAAGGAATTTAGCTAGCTAGCTAGCATCTGATTATTTAAGAATGTCCTCTTTTTCCTTTTTTGTTAAATGCTTTCTAATTTATGTAGAGGAACTTCTTTTACACAGAGTCATGCCACAGTTTGCTACTAAAATTCCTTTTTGGTGGCTTTTACTAGAGTGACAGGCTTTTTCTTTCGAGGGGGTTATGTGCTGTTTTCTCAGCCTTGTTGCACAAGATTTTCTATCCATTTACACCAGTGGAAAGTTTAGCCATTTCAGTTTGATTTCTTGATCAGTGTATATATTTATCCACAACTCTA